TTTCTTCTTCAATAGCTTATTTCCATTTTTTTCTATATTTAGGATTCAAGACTGCTTGATTGTATATAATAGGAATAGGGATTTCTAGAATCTGTTCTGTAGGGAAGGCTATATTCTTGTCTGCAGTGCTCCCTAGAATCACTTAAAGATTTTTGGACAGTTTTATTTTAATATTTAGATCGGTTTTTAATATAAAAGGTATAAAGATTATAATATATTCAATAATATTTCTATTTGGATTTTCTAAGAGTATTGCTATCATTACTCTTATCAGTTTTTGAATATACTTATCTGGCTTATTATTATCTTGCTTATGTTTTTGAAAAGAGTATTTTTCAGAGGTATTTATATCTATAGGTATAATCGGGGTTTTAATAGAGGATTAATCATTTATAGATGCAATATCTAATATCTCTATTTCATTTGTTTTCAAAGATAGTATTGAATATTTAAGCAAATTGATTTCAATAATATTCTCTTCACTATCTTTATCGAATTTCTGGATATTGTTTGTAAGGATTCATAATAAGTCCACTAGATGAACAATACCAACCTCCGCAGACTAGCCGGATTAATCCCAAAAGCACCGAGACCAATACTCTCCCCGCCACACTTCTCCACAGGGAGCCGTAACGATCCTATAGGAGGTTTGAAGAAAGAAGTAGCCGCGTTTGAATTCATATAATGGTGGAACTGTTTGTCTGACAGTTATATTACAGTTTTCTCGGACAACACTGAATAGTACTATTAAGGGCAAAAGATAATTGGCTATAGCTATACAATCTACCGGGAACAATTTCCAATAACATTCGATTATAGGGCAATCAATCTGCTTTCGCATATTTTCGACATCGAAATAGTAGGTGCTCTAAAAGGTTTGAAGTGTATTATCCGACTGAAGCCGGCTGGGCAGATCACTATATACATCAACAGCACCTCAGTCATCTGATGTATCAGAAACAACATTTCCGACTCATCCCAATAAGCATTTCTACACTGTCATGAGATTATAAAGAACAGGCAAATAGCGATCCGATAATCGCCTGGATATATTGGAATCCTTAGAAACAAGAAGGCCAATCGGCTCGCCGATCTAGGCACTCGTAGCGATTGTATCGAAAACGATAACTCATCGCTTCCTACTATCAATAGAATAAGCTCAATAGCCAGAACCCTCAGATAAGAAACAGAATAGAGATGGTGGAAGCAAAATGAGGTTACCCTTGCTGGCTAATACTATTGCTGACATCTCAACTATCAAGTCAAGGAATCTGAGGAACTTATTCTCCCCCGTTCTATTCTTCAACAACTAATAACACTCAGAACCGGACATGGGGACTTTGTATTCTATCACCAACACTTTCAGTACAACACGCCACCTCAGAATGCTCCTGCGGATACAGCAAAGAACCTGAGTATCTGGTGCTTTGCCGATATTCTTGTACCCAATTCGACAACTAGCTGAACAAATCCAACTCAATCTTGCGAGATACAAAGAATATAATCAACTATTTCTTTTTTCTTTTAAAAACTCTAACAGACTTTACAATCTTTCTAACAATTACTAATCACTTTGAGCAATTATACTCAATCTCTTCGAAGATCCTCTAATCTCCCACTTTTATATTGTTAATCAAGACTATATTCCCTCTAAAACTACTTTCCCCTTTCCACTGCTATATACAAACTATATCAAACAAAAACTAACAATATAGGACCTTTTAGCCAACCACAAACCTGAGCTACTCAATATAAAATGGGTTGAATAGTATCAATATTGTAAGCAGAAGACAAGCGATAGGAGTATATACAGTACCCCTAGCCGCTTCTTCCCTAGCCTGCATTACAGCCGTAAAAGAACGGAATGTGTGGCTATAATAGCACCCCTACTAGCATAGTCTATCCCTAATACTCCCTGGGAGATTATGGCGAGCCTCTGCGGCTTGCCCTCTGGATGTAAATTAAAATAAATAAATAAATAAATAAATAATAAGTCCACTAAATCACTTATTAATATCTTACTAATTAAGAGATATCTTAATGACTAATATGCATATAATATGATCTTATATTATAAAATCATATTATCATATTGTTATATAATAGTATCTCTTATCAAATTGATTTATAATGGAATAGAATGAAATGGAATTAAATAGAAGTATATGGGAAATATCGCTAAATCGATTGGTTGTACTTTCTTTTTATTATATAAAATTATTCTATAAGATTCGATTCAAATCAATCTTATTTATAAGCATAGAAAATACTAGAATTTCATTATAAACTATATAAACCTAGGATATTCTTTAAAGAAAACCTAGGAAAAGCAAGCAATTTCATCTCAACTCAGCCTAGCTCTTCTAAACTGACTTCAATTCAACTCTTATATATATTCGATTTATCCCTTAAGCTTAAATTGACTAGATCTTCCACTATCATTATAATAATAATAATATTCCTTATTATTATAAAAGCTAACCTCCAAGAATATTTTTATTTTAAATTTGAATATGATTGAGATATTGATATATATTTTAATATAAGTAAGATCTGTTTATACATTCTATTCCAATCCTTTAATATTTAGTATATCAGCCCTCTGCTGCAATACAAGCCTCAATTCTATTCCCCATACTAGCTCCCAAATTTATAAACAATTGATCGTCCAATATATCTCAAGCTGTTTGTAGAATACTCTCTAATTTCTATCTAATATAATCCGATTGACTTTTATCCATTGCAATATTAGGGAACATCTCAAAAACATATACTTTTAGGTACCACCATATATACTCTATGAGATTGAGATCGGAACTATAAGGAAACTAGAGATCGACTAAAGAGATACCCTTTAGCCGGAATCATTCTAATACCTTTCTAGCTTGATGTATAGAAGCATTATCCTATATGAATTGATATTCTCTATTCAATCTTTCCTATATAGAAGCTATCTCACTATTAAGAACCTCGAAATAAGAATTGACACTATACTCGAATTTCTTATTCTCGAAATCCCTATCCATGATATATAACTTACTCCTTCCGGTATTACAAAAGCCTCCCCATACCATAACCTTTATATTCTTATATACAGAATAGGTTTGGACCATTTCCTGTTTCCATTTTCGATCTGGAAAGCAGAACACCCATTCCTGCTTTTTCCCTCTTCCCCACTCTACAGAGCACTCGTCCGATCAGAAGACTAGCCCCCATTCCTTTACTGTCCACCCTTTATAGTTTAGATACCAGGCTAGCCTTTTAATAGTATGTTTTTCTATAAGTTCAGATTTCTTTCTAATTCTCTAATTAGCTATACTATATTCCCTCAAAATCCTTTTAATAATTGTAATATTGAAATCGAAGTTATATACTTTAATAATTTCTTTATAAATGGATTTTGAAAATAGTCGAATATAATATAGTAAATATTATTCCTTTCGTTCAGTATATGATTTCTTTCGAGATTTATATACCAAGAACTCACTGTCATTATATATTCGATCTTGCTTGAGAGTATAGCATACAATGGAATGGGAGATCTCCAAGGGCTTAGCAATCATTACAACTTTTAGCTCCCCCTCTTATATTCCTGCTATTTTTCTGTGGTTGTATAAACTGAAATGCCTTTCAGATACATTATTATACGTAATTGATTTCAAAGAAATATATAGTTGATTTATAATTAAAATAATAATAATAAGGTTATAGAGAAGACGCATTGAATTTTTTGATAAAAGCGCGTTTCGGCTAATATAAGTGCACGATTATTGTAACTGCTATTAACACCAATAGAGCAGCATGATGAAAGAGCTCGTACATCTTGCTTGTACTACTAAAGAATTCGAATATCCAAATCAATGTTCGCAATAATGTGAAACCTACACTCTGTAGAATTTGCCACCACTATACGGATCCGAATGGGGTGCATACAGATGGTACATCGGCTGGAGAGGGAAGTGGCGATTCAAAGGGAAGTTCTTTCCATACATTGGCTGGTGGGATGGTGTGGGGTTGGGTATGAAGAGATCGTCTTCTGTGCCGTCTCCATGGTAAATACGATACAACTCTTTTCCTACATACAGCCTCCCGCCGTCTCTTCATTTGTGCGGGTATCTTCCACGTAGTCGTGGCGTGTACTGTACACCAGGTTGTCGAAAACTGGAACACTATTGGATAGCAATCAGCAAAATCAATAAAGCATGCAATCTTCAATATCTTATCATTTTATAGGCACACGATAGTAACTGCAAGTTTTGCGGACACTTCAGTTTCAGGTTCCGTGCCAGAATATTGATTCGTTGAAATGATATTGAATATAAAAGAGGTGATAATAGACTAACAGGCTAGTACTAGCTCCCGCCCCAGCTGAGGCATCCTTAGAGAGACCATGTTCAACTGCCGCTTACATGGAATTTTTCTCCACTTCAGTCTTCAAAGTTCTCATTTGAGTATTTGCTACTATCATCGAGATCTGCACTAGAGGTTGTTCTACCCGGCATCTTTCCTGAGGCTTCATATTCTCTCGAAGAATTCTTTTAGCATTCATTTGTATCAATTCAAATTTCTATTAGCTATTCAATTTTTACCAGACTTTCATTCTTTCTATAACACGATTTCAAAGACTATTTGAAGGAAGAACTATTCCGAAGCACCTACTCCCGCTGAGGCTGATAGGTGTAGATGGAGTGGTGGGTGGGGCGCTGAGTGGGAGACACTCGAAGGTCTACGACCATATGTTCATGGTGTATTGGTTCTTCCGTCTGCATGAAGCTAGGGTAAGCTCAGCTCATGCACATCATGCCAAATATGGAACCTCCTTCGCAACAAATGCCCATAATGAGTTGTTGGCGGATGTGAGCCGCATATAATACTACATACTCCCATTTTTTTTCATATCATAGTTTGGCATTGTTTAGAATGAATTTCTGAATCTCTTTCTTCTCATCGAAACATTTCATTCCTGGTGTTTTGCTTCACAAAAAGCACTTCAGATTATCATGGAAGCCGGAAACACATCACATATCGAGAACTTGTCCAATTCAGAGCTCATCCAGGGAGACAGGAACAATGCCTTTGCGGAATTACTTATCAGTCTTTCCTCGGACTCAGGTAGTGCCAAAGCGGAACTTCTCGTAAAGATGATGCAAGAAAGCGACCCTCGATGAACTGAGAAGGCTTTTCAACTCCAAGGTTGATTTGCTTGAGATGACTGTACCTACAAAATCAACGATGATGGCAGAGAGATATTCCTCGACCTCGCCTTAATTCACTGGGCTGCAGGGTTTAGTAAACCTTCAATCATCAATCTTCTTTTGGAATATGGCGTTAAAGTGGACGAAAAGATTCCTATTATCGGCGGAACCGCACTACATCTGGCATCTCGATTTGGTTCTAAAAACAACATAGATATACTCCTTTCTCAAAAGCTGGATATAAATCAAAAATACCATGTTGGAGCAACTCCATTACATTTGGCATCCAGATATGGCAAAGAAGAGAATGTGGAGTATCTTCTGGACGAAGGCGCCGACTATAGCCAGTTTAACAATTATAACAATATGGCAATTCATCATGCTGCTATGTTTGGCGAGCTTGAAACTCTGAAAATTCTCTACAGACGAGGCTCACATAGATATATCAATGAGCCAAACTGTTATCTCAATGCACCACTGCATCTAGCAAGTATGTTTGGCAATACCAATGTTGCAGAATGGCTTTTGGAAAAGGGAGCAGCAATTTATCAGCCAGGAACAGGAGGAGACACTCCATTGCACATGGCCACTTCCAGGGGTCATGTCGAAATTGTCAGGCAACTTTTGAACAATGGGGCGGATATTCACAAAAAAAATGACAATTCATACTCCGCAATTCTAATTGCGTCTGAAAACGCTAACATAGAAATCTTCAGGATGCTAAGAGGATCAGGTGCATTTCTCTTAGATGTAGGCGCGCGAGATCATGGTACTTGCTACCACAGAGTCATAATGTGTTTCCGGAAATTCTCAAGCGACCACGATGAAATCATAAAATTTTTGGTAGGCGACGGTGTAGATATTAACCAGGCTAATGCTAATGGCCATTCACCCTTATTTCTTGCATGTATCAATCAAAAGCTCGAACATGCCCAGTGTCTCCTGAAGTATGGTGCCGACGTCTACCAGATGGGGTCTCGAAAAAATGGGACTCCTCTGATAGAGGCTTGCTGTATTCCTGCCAGTCGCATAGTTGAATTGCTCTTACAGCATAATGCCGATACAGCAATAAAAAACAGTCATGGGATGACTGCCTTGGCATGCGCAGTCTACTTCAATCATCTTGAACACGTCAAGCTTCTTATAAAAATTGGCGCCAACGTCATATGTAGTGATCGTCGAGGAATTACACCTCTTCACACTGCCGTTTTGCAAAAAAAGAGTATTGCTATTGCGCTCGAAATTTTGGCTGCGGAACCATACTACCCCAAAAGTCCATCCGCGAAATACCCTCACATGGGAAGCACTTCTGAGATTCTTGAAATCGAGACCGTATTACTTCAAGGCTTTGAAAGCTCTGAGTATGAGACACTAGAGCAGCTTCATATCATCATGTATTGGGCAGTCTCTAATGGTGCCAAAGATTTGGCTAACCGATGCATTGATCATGATCGACGAGTACTGCGCTGGACTAGAGAAGGGGCTACATGGCTGCACATAACCTCTAAGAGTGGTATGGTTGAAATTGCACAACTCCTTTTAGGAAGAATGACAATGCAATCAGACGCACGGGATCAACCATTAGGGTTGGCAGCAGTTGCTTTGATCATACAGCAAAACAGTCGAGGAGACTCGCCTTTGGCTATTGCAATTGAAAAAGGGCATGATCAACTAGAGGACTTCTTTTGGTCGCAAATCAAACAGCTTCAAATCACCGAAGAAAATTTGATAGACTCTCATCCAGATATTGCAGCTCAAATTCTCGAGTTTCTAGCTCGACATGAAGAGCCCGGGAATGAAGAGATACTCAAAGGTTTCTTGAGATCTGGTGGTAAGAGAGACGTCAAAGACTCGGAAGGTTTCACAGCTCTCCAGTGGGCAGTTTGTCGATCCCAGGAAGTCATTGTATGGTGGTTGTTGTCGAAGGGCGGTTACTCGTCTGACAAGATCAACAGCGCCTTGAAGCTTATTATTGAAAACTCAGACAAAAAATCTGAAACCATAAAGGGATTACTGCGTACTCCTCCAACAACTCTCGATCATGTCTCAAATCCAAACAAGAAGCATAAGCGCAAGTTTCCAAAGTCCGCAAATAGCAATAATTTCACGAATCAAATGGGGAGCATTGTTGATATTCTTTCTGGTCCAGAACCAAAACGTATTAAACATGCCACCCCAAGTGTCAAGGAGCTGATTTACGATATTGGCCCTGAGGATATAATGAGAAAAGCCGGGGATTTGAGTGAGCGCTATTTAGCGTTACTGAAGGAAACCCAAAAGAAAGACTGCGGGGCTTCCTCAAACAGGATTGGTGTTCAGACAAAATACTCTCCGAGTCTGGATTCAACTTCACCCCAACATGAAAAAATTGGTGATGAGACACCTTCGAGCGGCAACTTGCGTGAGCTTGACCTTCGCTGGATTCATCTTCCTGTTAACGAGGTAAGACCTTCTGAATTTGCATGTTCGTTGATTTTTGGAGAGGCGCTGATAAATGATTGATAGTTAAATCTAATGCGAGTAAGCTCTATCATGATTCCAATCTTGCCACAGACATCTGACGATATTCTTCCTAGGACCTTGTAAGTCGACTATCAAGTGATTCGGGTCGATCCGAAAGAGAACACATGGCTATTATGAAACACTTCAACAAAAGCTGGACAGAGCTGGCGGCAGGCGCAGAACGTTATTATATGAAACCCCAATTTCTGGTATGCAATGAAGAATCATAGTTAAGACAGAGATGAGAACTTACCATCTTCGCGTTTAAAGCGCAAGCAGGAAGATACCCACTACGACCCAGTCAATGGTAATAATGGCGACCAGGCACCAAGAGAGTCCACCGCCGGCGCTTGCGCGGCACTTTATGTAGGTGACTGCACAATTTCCTGCTTTGATAGAAATGTAAGATACTGAACATTCTCTATTAAAGATGCCATACCTCGACATAGGGACCTTTGATCGCAAAATAGATAAGTCTTCAAACACCAAATCTTCCACTTTACTTGACGAGTCTATCAACGAGCGTAACTCGAGAGAAATCAAGCATGAGCCTATAACTCTCGATCAATATTACTATCCAACTATAGACGATACTTCAACGAGAGATAATGATCAAGTGCTGTGAAAATTCTTACAAAAAAAATCCGAGCAATCGGGAGGTACTGAATTCCTGTCAAAAATGAGCATGGGAGAACCTATGGTGTTAGAAGCTAACGCTCACTAGGCAGAAAAATACTCATGGTGAACCAGCTTTGGATTTGGATTATCGACAAAAGTACTGTTACAGATTCCGAATTCCAAGTCTAAATAAACGTGTGAATCAGCTGACCCTGCTTCAGAAACAATTATCACAGCCACAACCCAGAAATTTGGTGAAACTCCGGAACAAATCAGCAAAGTAGATCGAGATCCTCCAGAGATTCTCCTCCAGAATGCATTGGATAACATACTTCACGGCGACACAAAAAGTCAATTTGAACGCGCAAAAACAGTCGATTCCCTGATGGAGCTTCTTCTTGGTGTTGCATCTGGGCTTTTCATGAAACGATTTGTACCTGTTTCTGGCCAAATCTACAAGGAGCCGATTGAGATATTTCGAGAGTCGATTAGAGACGTGGTTTGTTACTGTGCTCACATGGAATTGCCTAATATTCAAACTAATATATTCGATTAGGCGGAGAAAGAATCTTCACTTTTCCAAGAGTTTCTTCGAGGTCTCCAGGAAGCAAAACCTCGGGAACAAAAGTCTCTGGAACCAGAGCAAAAGAAAGAACAGCCTTCGAGTGAAGATTCTGACTCCAAGCCACCGGATAGACCAATGCCTTTAAATCGCTACCATGTTATTTCATCCGAAACCGAGCTTCTCAACATGATACGAGATATCCGTGACGAGCTTCATATGCTCAGATCTCTGGCAGAGGATCAAGAAGTTGTTTGGAAGCAGGCCTTTGCTTCCAGTAACCTGATGCACTTCAAAGCTTACAGTCCCACCAATGTCAAGAAAGATTTGGACGCTATGCTTTCTGAAGCAGATAAAACGGAGGGTTATGTTAGTGAAACGCAAAGGATAGTATAAGTGGACTTTTCAGCTGACACAAAACAAAGATCAACACTCTGCTCGACCTGCGACAAGCGGAATTCGGCAGATTACAAGCATACGATTCAGCTAGACAGTCCAACAGTATCTTTGTATTTACTATCATGACCATCGTATTTGTAAGTCTTGAGTGGTAATCATCAGAGAGATGGGAATACTAGCAAAGCTAATGATTAATCTTCGAATCCAGCTTCCTCTCTCATTCCTGACGTCTCTCTTCGCGCTGAACGTATCCGATTTTCCCCATGAAGGGGACAACGTACAATATAAGGGGTGGTGGATATTTCCCATTATCTGTAAGTATTTCTGAGACCGGGAAATTCAATAGCTAACACGATGATTAGTTGGTGTCACCGCACTTATCTCTATTCCAGCTATCATTTTCGCATGGAAAGTCAACGCCTTTTCTAGCTTTCGACCACGAAACAATATTTCCAGTGAAAGTTCAAAGCATACTGATGTTATAAAAAGAGTTCGTAATATTGCGAGAAGGAGAGGTAGGAAATCGTATGATGCTGAGGCCTAATAATGGCGCGCGGGAAAAGTGTACACGCATAGGCTGGGAACGATATTGGTGGATATTTTCTTGAATACATAAACGGATTCTCATTTTGATCTACCAGAACTTCCTCTATATAAGCATTCAAATCTATACGCAGAATATTTTCTTGCTGGGTTGAGTGTAGCCACTGCTTCTTTCTTCCAATCGCACTAGCGATGTATGCACTTGCCATGACTGTAACAATATCAACCAGCTCCACTAGTAACAGAATGCTGCATTATAGACATGAGCGGACTTCCACTATTCCCAGGTAAGCACAATTTTCGTGATGATCTTAGATTTCGGGAAGGTCAGCGAGTATTGCGCAAGAAAGATGTATCAGCGCGGACGACATATCTTCTCCGGAAAAGTTTGTGATATATAGGATTGTTACTTTTGTTTACAAACACTATCCACATTGAGGTCACGAGTTGAAGCAATGTTCAGTTTCATTGATAAAGTAGATGACCATGCATAAAAGTCATAAAAGGATCTACATATCATATCCTGCCTTAACATTTATGCAAAGGAAGTACACGTGCGTAAAGCACAGTTAGCACACTACAGGAATGTAATTCGCGGCTACAAGAGACTAATAGCTGTTCTCCGTAAGTTTAGATCCGAAGGATCACCATGATCGTGGGTTCAGAGAGCGTGGGCGTAGCTTCGGTCTTCTCAGCCTATGGTCATACATACCTGCATCTCTTCCTAAATACATGCACATCTTCTACGTATTGACCTTCAATCCATACTTCCCGTCTTTCTTCTTCGTCCGCATGTCTTCATCCATCACCACCTCGGATGTTTGTCATCTACTCTTCCATCTCACCCTGCCCACCCAATCCACGAACTTCTGGACATCCTCCCTCTCCTCCAGTAACTCAACCGTATAACAGTCCCTAGCCAATTCCTCATGCCCCGCAACGCGATGCACAAAACTATGACACGCTCTGCATAACCACGCTACATTGTTTAATTCTTCCTCGGTATGCCAGCCGCGTTTTAAAACTTTTGCATGCACGAATTTGGGGATGAGATGATGGTAAGTGAGGGGGATCCAATCGCGGTCGCAGAGCTCGCAAGCGGTGGTAACGACGCGGAGGGCTTGGGGTGTGGGAGGCGGGGAAAGGAGATGCGAGAAATAGGTGGAGAGGGGCGTGTGGAGGAAGGAAGAGAGGGCTATACAGGGAGGAAGCAGGGAGTAGGTATGAAGTGAGTCGGAGATGCTAGGGGGGAGAGCATCGGTGAGGAGAGTCGAGGTTTCGAAATCGAGGGGGTGGAGGGAGGGATATTTTCTTTGGAGGGAGGGGTCGTGGGTGTAGATTGTGTATGATAAGGTTCGGAGATCGGATGGAAGATGCGTGAATATTTCTAGAGCGATATACTGAATTCATATATATTAACATCAATATCCTTCGGAATAGTCTCCCATTTCCATGTATAAAAAAAGAAAGCGTACTTCGATAAACTCCGCCAGCTCTGCTGCATCGTTGATTTTAGTTTCTTCTACGTCGATCTCTTTTGATACAGGTTTTATCGCTGTTTTCCTCCCCGCTTTAGCTTTTCTCGTCTTCCGTTTCGATGTATTTGAGTTGGAGGTAGATGTACATTGTTCGATCAAGGGTGTAGAGACACAATCGAGAAAGATGCGAAAATTGGGTTCTTCGATGGTGTCGATCATGAGGCGTGGAATCTATCGCCGATATTGATGGTAAAGCTGGAGGGCAAAATGAAGGGGTAAAGGCTCGGTAGTTTTGGGTTCCGTAACTCATGTGAAATTTAGAATGTGCAGATTTATTTATGTGGTGATGTTTATATTGATCGAAAGCCTGGACGCCACCATCGATGAAGTCATGACGGTGAGATGCAGTAGTGGAGATGCTTAGTGCTGCCAAGTATTGAGCTGGAGCCACTATGCGTCGTCCCGCAGTAGATATCGTCAATTCTAGGCTTTCGGTACCAGGCGAGATTTATTAGTGTTGATCACCGGTAAGTAAATTTTACCCCGCAATGATGCTCTTATTGGAGCTTATCATTAATGGATGGAAATTTCGCGGATATTATTCTTCGAAAAGCTCATAAATATATAATAATTAATACCAAATATTGTACAATCCGGTAAGTTGCCGTTTGATGTTGTTGAATGAGCAGCAATAGTCCTGATTTTACTAGGTATATATACAATCATGTCGGACAAAAAAACGACCATAGCTTTTGATCTCTACGGTACTCTCCTCTCTACCGAAAGCATTGCAAAAGAATTGGCTCTTCATTTTGGCGATGAGAAAGCACAATCAGTTGCTACACTATGGAGGAGATATGTATGTAGCGACCAAGTGTTTCTTGTCAATCAGTGCGACTCGTCTGATATGTGAACATAGCAATTAGAATATACTTTCCGGATGAACAGCATGTGTAAGTTTCCTTCTCTCCCCAGTTCAGGTCCCATCTTAAATTTTCTCCACAATGCATTAATGGAGAAACATAAGCAACCAAGTAGTTATCTAACAGTAATCATAGTACTATACAAACCCTTCTCAGAAATCACCAATACATCACTTCGTCACGCAATATCCGAACATAAACTTGCTCTGGCTGAAACAGATATTGAGAGTGTAATGAAAGCATACAATTCTCTCTCCGCGTTTTCAGACGCTTTAACCGGACTCGAAAACTTGGCGAAAGATTCGGGAACTAATGCTTATGTATTCTCAAATGGGTCAGATGAAATGGTTTCCTCATCCGTCCACAATTCCCCAGAGCTCTCGAAGTTCAAAGATCTCTTTAAAGAGCTTATTACGGTGGAAGAAGTAGAATACTATAAGTCCCATCCAAAAGTTTATGAACATTTGGTTAGGAAGGTGAGAGGTGGTGTTGAGAAAAAGGATTGCGAGGATGTGTGGCTTGTCAGTGGGAATCCGTTTGATATTGTAGGTGCAAGACACGCGGGTTTGATGACTTGTTGGGTGGATAGAAGTAAAGGGGGTTGGAATGATATGCTGGGCGATTTGGCAAGCGGGGGACCGCACCTGGTTGTTGAGGGGGTTGACGCCGCTGTGAGAGAGATTCAGAGAGTGTCTAAGGATCAGTGAAGATTGTATGCTGAAGCTCTAGCTTAACTCTGGTAATTATATGCTTGTATATTAGTCTGAGGTAGACTTTGTCGTAGATTACATATGTATGATTGTGTTTTCAAGGGGAACGAGAAAGTCAAGAAATGAATACTCAAAAGATATAAGAAATTTCACATGTTTTGTTCAAATTCACTTAGGTAAGATAGTTGAAGTTTCTATAGTTAAAGTACCCATCATTAACAGTTCTGGGAAATATAGCAATTTTTAATTTTCATCCTCGAATGCGTTTCCGATGCACAGCCACAAATCATGCGGGGCGTGCAATACAGCTCTTTCCGCTGTCTGCCCGCAATATATATCAGCCCTCTCGCCTTGAAGAGCTTGAGATCGTTTCGCATGAACTATTCATACCATATGCTTTTACATCTGAAGCAGAAAGTACAGGAAATATGTAGGAAGGGAAGATGCAGCTTTCGGGGTCGAGGTAGTTGTCAAGAGGTTCTTCTTGTCATGGAAGGTGAGTGGGCAGTTCATGAGTCTTTCACCATCTGCGACAACCGACGACTATATCGCCGGCCTTACGCGTAAGGTTGATTGCTATTATTCTAGCTTTGGTCTAGTCATTCACCCTAATTCCACTGAGACATAAGGTTACATGACATGAATAAGCCTCGGAACAAGAACAAAATCTTCCAAGAAAACGACGAAAGAAGCAGGATAAGAAATCATGAAAGAATGGCATAATATGAAAAACAGTGTTTTTGATCTCCTGACAGTTTATGGAGAAAGAAGAATTTTCGAGGCGTAATGTACAAACAGGTTGTGAGTCCTCCTCGACCAAAACAATTCCTCTTTCTTGCTCAAGAACATCGTCTCTTCCTGGGATAATACTCCACATCTTTCGGACTCGATCATGATGTCTTTGATATTTTAGAAAAATCATCTCGGCGGAACAGAGCTTGGAAGATAAATCGTGCTAAGAGTTGGAGGGAGAGGTATTCGATGTAATTGGATTCTTAGATGGAGGGTACACAGCAATGCGGATCCTTTTTCTTTGTAATGAAATTGGATAAGAACTTTGCAGTTTTTGTGGAATTCTATGACAGTAAAGCGACACTGAGAAATTTAGATGTGTTAAATTTACTCGACTTTTGGTTTCAAGGTTTAGGTTGGTGGGAAAACCGTTTTGTGGGAGTCCCTTCTTCCAGTTTGTGTCGAATTTGGAAAGGTGAGCGGTGAAATCGATCATTCAGGATTTGTAGTTATCCTTACAGACGTCCTCTTTTTTTCATGGGTCTGGTTATGATCGAGAAGTTCTCTCGATTTGTATTGATTATATTGAACGCGTCACAAGAACAAAACGAAATTCCAGAGCAGTAGATCGTGAACTTGGAGCTCGCTTTCTGAACGTTCTCAACTTTCTCGACTTTCCGTTCTTCATTTTCTCCCATAGTCTACCAGCAGAAATGGTACAGGACAGTTTTCTGGCATTTGTAAAAACCATAAACGTTTGAGGGCGGGCCGGCACGGTAATCCTTGGTTCTTCGATCTCAACAATCGAATACAATACCCTTTATGCATGATTCTGGTGGTACTATTTATCTTTAAAACTTGATCTTGGTTTGCTAGCACAGAGGTCAGAGTGTTTCGATATATATTGATGCAGATTTCTCTAGTTCACGGTGAGGGTCAGTAGACCCAGAGAAGACCCAAAGATTTTTGTCCTCGACATACCAAGTAAACGATATGTTCTCCTATTGTACATGTACTGACCATAATTTGTTTGCATCAATGAAGATCAAGCAGATATACTTGAGAGTCCGGAACACAGACATTCTCTTTAAGGGGATGTTTACCTGCTCAGACTGCGATGATCACCCAGTTGAAAACCTTCAATTCCAAAAAAAGATCAACGTCAGGTTAGAATAAGACTACAATGAACACAAGATTAATTTTGATGCCTTGAATAGTTCTGCTTTTCGTCAGTTCAAACCATCATGTTACGATTTCCAAGTCTGCCTTCGTTCCTTCCCCCGGAAGAAGTACTGACTGGGGCTCTCGGCTATCAACTCCTGGTTTTTCTTCAAAAAGCTCCTTGCATTGGGTTATTTGGGCTCTTCGTATACGAAGGATTGCAGCGGATGAACTGGGTATCAATACTTGTCACTCCATTTGATGCAGAATTTTACATGCGGGCTCTTATGGAGAAGCACAGGAAGTATCATTTTCTAGCACAACGTTGAGAATAGAATATCATGTATTCAACTTGAAATTATGCTTACGTTCTTCGGGCTTCCAAGTTTCACGTAGTATGGAGCACGAAGGATTATTTAGCTTAGTCGTTTTCGACGATGGAGGATTTTAACCTAGCGAGGCTCACCACAACTATTCAATTTCATAAAATTAATGTCTTTGGAGGATGAAGCGAGGCTGACTATGTCATTTCCATTCTACTGCTTAAGATTTAAGTTTGCAGACTTCGATTTTATAGCGCAACAGTGCGAGATTCCAAAACTCTGTCGACCAAGACGTCAGTCCATATCTCACCATCAGAGGATCCACAAATAATAGATCGAGACTAGTAAATATACAGATGCCTTTGAAAGATCAAATTTAGATCATAGAGCTTCCTGAAGTTAATGAACCAATCTCTATATCGGAGATTTTTGTATAAAACTGTCAGAATAGGATTTGGGGAGGTATCTTATGACCAAATATATTGTCTTCATATTCGTGCATTGCTTCATTGGGTAGACTCTACGATTAAGTTATCATCTGGTGTCACACTGTCTTTGAAAGTTACATAGATCTCGTAAGAATAATGCAATCATTCTCATCGCTCTTTCTAACAGTAAATGCAAGCGGGGGTACTTCATCACCTTGCCAATGAGATTGGAGAGAGATATCAAAGAAAAGCATGTGAGCATGCAATCATTTGTCTATGGTTCCATGGAAGCGGGGAAGCAAATTTATATTCACAATATGATATCCAGATAACGGCGGTCTAGTGTAAGGGTTAGTAACGAATCTGGCAGGTAGGATAATTTGTAGATGGCCGTTATAAGGGATAGTATAAGTATTGAGACGAGAAATGAAACAAGGCATGCAATTAGAAATTGGTTGACTTTTGTCCTACACAGCTTTGGATTCTGTTAATCAAGGTTATTTTCGTTGCATGTCCGATACTCGACACGCAAGCTGCATATATTCCCAAACGAGGCGCTAAAACCAAGGCATACTGTATATTCTTTGAGAATTTCATGTTGAACAAACAAACTTCATGAATCAGGGGAAATGTTTGACTGTTGGTTCCCCACAATAGGCAGCCGCAAAACTGTACCGTTGTGGATATGGATAAGGCAAGTAGGTTTTCCCCTGAGGAGCTTTTGCTGCCAATATTAAAGTTCCGAAAAACATTCCGCGTCCTAATTCGAGTCGTAAAGCTCTATCCGTAATACGCATCATCATTCAAGATCTTGACAGAAGCTTTTGAGTTCTGGTGTGGCTTGACATATTTCCATAAAGATCCGAAGGAATCATGACCAACATTTCGACGGGTCTCTAGTTAATCCACGCTTCAGTCAAATCATGACCCCACAGACCCATCTTGTGTTGCAAACTTTTCGACTTATTGCCTCGTACTACTCTATGTAGACCCGTTCAACTAGAGCGACGCGCCCAATCGTCCGAGCTTGTATTTGTAGCGAATGATCTACGTTTTTGCTTAACATGTCGGATCCACTCCTTCCAAGGGGGTTTTCTGGAAGATGGGGGGGATCACCATGAACTAAATCTTACCCTTTAACCTTACGACGACACAACACGAGATTATTCACGATCAAATGCTCCTACAATATTATCCTTAAACACAACATCAAACAAGTCTTGTATCTAAAATGGACAATTGATTGACTAAATGATTACGATATCATTTTAAATAATCCATCATGTCATGGATTTGACTGTAAGACAGGAGTCAATTGGAGCAACTCCTACAAGCTCTCATTTTCGTGCATATCCGAGATCGCGAAAAAAGCAAGACAGGATTTATTTTCCATCATCTAATCGAACACGACGATGCTGTGGATCAAATCTAAGCACCTTATCTATCTATGTTGGTAATCTCCACTTTGTGCATAGGTAACTCGAAAGAAGTTGGGTATGGCCGTGATTTATTTGTTTTCATTCCAACGTAGGAAATCAGGCATACTCAGCCTCTGTATCCCTGAAAGGTTGCATCCTTCGTTACACACCTACTAAGCCTACGATGGCACAGCGGACTAGAAGCCCTGAAGCCTCCTCTCCAACTAGGGCGGAGTAGGTCCTGTTTGTCGGATGTGATAAATTTAATTATTTGGTTTCACGTCACCTAATTGCTTGTTACCCATGAGATTGCAACACAACGGCTGTTTTCAAGACCATAAAACTCCTCTCTCCCCAACCAATCTCTTCCTACAAGCGCGTTTGACGATCAAACGAAAAAAAAGTGTCCAACATTGAAATTCGATAAGTTATCGAAGATTTATATTTGAGGAGAACAAAAATGTCAACTTCATTTGATGGTCCATATCCACCGAATCCACAACAAAAATCATCATCCCGCTGGCCAACTGCACCAGGAGTTTACGTCAACGTCGAGTTCAGAGTCTCGATGTCTGAGAACGACAAGGGACATGGGGCATCGTTGAGGTACGCATCAAGGAAACATGAGGGAAAGGGAAAGAGCAAGAGCAAATACACATTTGGGTGGCAAACCAATACCATCAATATTGACACCCGGTCATCCTCAACCTAATAATCCATCTCAATATCAGCAAAAAACTACAGCAACAGCGAGATTTAAATCGAGGGTTGAGCATTGGTATGGAAACACAAGGGAGGGGAAGATCTGCACCACCGACGATGAACGATAGAACTCAACCAATTAGTCCAGTCAGTCCTGTTAGCCCTATGAGTGCTGTTGGCAGTCCAATACAACATCGGATAGTGAATTTGCCTCGGCAAAACATTATGGATCGATTAGACCGACCTTTACCATCAACACCAGGACGATTTCGTCTCGGCGAAGATGACTTACCATGGTCAACACCCCCTTCGTATTGGAACGCCGAACCTGATACTTCAGAAAGTGTCGGTCCTACACTAACCAGTATTGAGACCTTTCAGCCATATCAACCATCTCCAACTACTGCCAGACGAACCGAAGATCCTAAAAGAGTTCGAGAGTTGTCGGAACTTCAACAGGCTATGATGACGGTGGATAGTATTGACAATGATGTATGGGATCCGTGGATGTGGGATAGTGTAGGAGATATGCCTAGAGGGCCAAGAAGTATTGGCTGGGCAGTAAGTTCGAACGATGCATCTGGCTCGCCGGCCTCGTCGTCGCTGAAGACTCCGCCGCCGCCGCCTTACGTTGTTAGTCAGTGGGAAAATGCTTGTCAGAAAAGAGTCACGACTACGAGACCTAGAAGTACGGGCTGAGGATTGAAATCGAAATCCTAGGGAATTTCTTAAATATGATCTATGGGACAGACAGAAGTCCTCAGGAACCTTTTTGGGCGCGAGCACTATCATTCTTTTACAACGGTGCTACAAGAATCTAGAGGGAAATGTCCAAAATCCTATGGAAGGCTTGCTCAGTACAGCAATCGTGAAGACATGGATACGCCCGGCACAAACAAGTTCCACGCAAAAGCTACATATCAGAAAAACACATCGGTGAACATGGAATGAACCTCAGGTTCAAGTTCATCTGCCATTCGTTAGAAGCGTTTCGGGTCCGAAGATTGCCACTCGCAGCTCGCCTGCCTCACTGTCGTTACAAAAAGCGGTCCGAAAACCTTCTAGTATATTCGATTTTACTCCACCCGCATACACGAATTCGTTCCCAATATAAAATTTGAATCATATCAAAAATATAGCGGAGCACAATTGGGCCTCAAACAAATTCTTCATTGGAATAAGGCGAAAATATCGGATTAACGGAACAAAGACAGGGAGTACAAAAACTACGAATAACCGGGGTAAAAGCGGATACCTTCGCATGAGCTAGTACATTTACGGGACATATTTGACGTCAAATATCAAGCTTGACTGAACTTGGAGGTTCAGGGAAGAGCTTTGATCAGAGGGAAGATCTTGCACAGGAATGGAATGCAGCTAGAATGTAGCTAGAATTAGGTAGCCAAATTCTTTTGAATTGATAGTTTGAAACACAATTTTTGCAAGGGATGTGAGACTCTTGAGCCGAAGGAAATGGTGAAACTTCTTGTAGCAATGAATTCCCCATGATTGTGACTGTGTAAATTTTGTTTTCCCCTTTCCTTTCTCTTCAACGGACCTCTAATAACTTTCAAACACGAGGTTTCGTCGCAGGAAAATGAAGTTCTGGTGTCCTTCGTCTCGTTCGACCTGTGAAAATGAACCTAGGTACATCGCCATAGAACATCGGGCAACTTCCCTGTCCCTGTCTGCCAAAGAAGATCGCAGGCATACATTGTCGGTCCTTTTTGTTTAGTTGCGGAGATCCTGCACGGAGGTGCCAAAGCTCGTTCGCTTCTATGTAGGTGCCTAGAATTAACGGCTATGTATACTATCAGAGCCATCTTCCGAAGGTATGTCTATTAACTTCGTATTTCGGATGGATGAGCGGTAGAGTGAAAATGGAATTATATGGATTATATGCAGAGTCACTTTCGTACCTTGCAGTCAATGCACCCTCACGAGTATGTGGAGATTGGTATTGAAGCCACCAAGGCGACAAGTGAAGAAGTAAGTGATAGCGCGTTTCATTCGTTGCGGCATTGAAGTAAATGGTTCGAAGATGTGCACATATGTATCTCCGATGGTAAGGCATCTAAAATCATCCTTGTTCGTCGATGATTGCCGACTCTCCTCATTAACCTTAATAGGGATTTAGTTCGAAGTCGAACTAATTCTCTCCAATAATGATGGTCTGGGTCGTGTAAGAGGACACTTTTATGCAGGCAGGCATGCATGTGATAGCCCGGACTTTATGGTCTAATTGGAAATTCATTGGTGACCAATGCTACTGGGAAAGGCATCTGTAGTCAGTTCATTTCTTGGAACTTAGCTGCAGAGACATGGAAGAGATAAATGATGATGAATGGAAATCAAAATCTGTATCCGAGGTACGATACTTTCTCGTCATGTATGTAAATATCGCAATTACATCTTCGATAGTGTCAAGATGGCTGTAGAGGTAACGATAGGCACGTCCATGACTTCTCATTTTCATATGCAGGAGGTATCTTATCTCGAAGAAACATGGCTACATGGGACTGAGAACCTCCACCCATGACTTGCAAATGCTTTCTTCCTTTTCATGACAAAGAGAGCGAGCGCCAAAAGGTTTTACCAGGTGCTCGTTACATCGAAGAGACCACTGGTACAGCTACCTATCGCGCTCTAGGAGTGATAAACTTTTATGACGCATGGGCTATTGCTCATAAATCTTGTGACTTTGCTTGTTTATCCCACAAACTACCCAACTCGGGTAGGCGAATGACATTCTATCGCTTCGGCACCACACCCACTGTGATAGAAGTGTCTACGCGACGCCAATATCAAAATGCAACCATCCGAAACAGCACAAAAATATCAGATGAACGATCACAGAACCCCTCCATTTCAACCCTTGCTAGCACTCGGAATCTTTACCCCGTGCTATCAGTCAAGTCTGAAGGAAGATTGAATCCTTGACATTTGATTGGAGGATCACTTCCGAGGCGAGAAGTGGACCTGCGGGGTTGACTGCGAGGCATATTTTGAGTTTTCTCAGTCGGATGTACCTTTCGTTTGATATTTTCGATTTCTTCTCGAAGAACGTATAATTGAAGTTGCTGTTCAAAGCTGTTATCTGTAACATCTTTCAAAGTTCGCATTGGCCGTTGCACCTGCACTTATCTGTGGAGTCGTCCCTTTGGTTGTCAAATTCGATTTTTTTCAGTTGCGGATAGACTTTGCGGTTAAACAGTACACTGGCCTTGGACTTAGACCTTCTCATTTCACCAAGTAGTTGACCTAGAGTTTTGGGTCGCGAGTGTGACGATGTGTCTCTATTTGCGTGGGTGAAAACTTACAGATCATGCCTGACATTTGTGCTTGCTTTTGCCTACTCACTCGATCGTCATCTCAAAATGGTCGATCTAAGAGTTAAAGGTATCTACTGATTGGGTAACTCGGGCTCTTCAAAGAATACCTCAATCTAGATGGAAACTTGATGTCAGTTGACATCTGTAACACACTGTGAGCCTGTGGTGTTTGACTATGACGGAGATTCGTTAGCTGTAACTGGCCTTCATTGTGAGGTGGCTGCTGAAAAAAATGAGGCTGAATTGCGGGAATTTCTCCGCCAACGATCTCTAAAATTGTTTGATATAGTTGTGGCTTCCCGAGCAATAGCTTCTTTCATTTTGAATAATGAAGCATCGAAGTATAAGATCAACTTATTTGACTGAACGACATTAATCATATTCGGGGCAGTAGAAGGCTTGATTGGCCTTGCTATAAGTGCAATCAACGTTGCAGTCTTTTTTACGATATGCATTGAGTGTTTTGACATTTTTATCGCTGAAAAGAACTTAAGTGAATATTATGAACCGTTTGTATGCTTTGATAAAATCAGAAGGTGCTTACATTTACTAGTATGTCTAGTTCTCATTGGATTGGTGCTCTGATTTCGATCACCTCTTCCTCAAATCCTATATTTTATTTGACGATAGAATCATTAAGACTAAAATTCCACGGCCCGGGTCGAGATTGAGGGGGTATGTTAGACATTTCACCCTCCAGTGGTCTTTTTTTCTTTCACAAATTTGTTTGATCAAGTACTAGAATTGGTTCTGAAAGCTTGAGGGATATGAACTTATGTCTTATAATCCATGATTACATTTTGTCATTTTAGCACTACTGTTTTTCAAATCGCAGACAATAAGGTTTTTTTAACTTCTTATTTGTTAAACTATGAATCTAGGGTAGCAGCTCTATACTCTTAAGGCAATCAATCATAAGTTCGTTCATTAGGCCGGTAGTAGTATATTCTGACCACCAGGCGAGTATTAATCAAGGTCCCGGTTCCCGGCCACTCTTCAAAAGTTGATACATTATTACCAAAGTACATATGATGCAAGTACAGCCTAAAATTTAGGCAGCTAAATAGGTTCTAAAACTTCTTAGTTTCAAATATACCTAGGTTGCTCTAAGAGATTAAACGCCTATTCGATCTTTAAGCGCCCCGTTAAAATCTATAGTTTGAATGTTAGTGGATTCATTTATATAAATTGTTCTTTATGTTTCTACATCATCTCATTATCATACCTATCTTCATTCAATATTCGAAGTTTCTCTTCTTCGTTAAATTTGTCATTAATCATTTGCAGCGACTGTTCTACTATCATACGAAAGCGACTGTTCTATTTAAGAAACATTTTTTTATTTCATCATCATCAAGTACCTAGGTTTATCAAAGTAATAGGAATACGTTCAAAGTGAATTGACTTTGACTGAGAGTTCATAACCGGTATTTGAAATCTTTTATAATCTCGAAATTTTATAAACAAACTGACCCTTCGTTGACAGTTTTCTTCTCTTTATCGAAATTATATTCTTTCACTTGATTATTATGCTTCAAAAATTTGGTCCGAAGGACAGAGATAATAGGGGACCTACATCAGGCGATACCAAACCTCGTCACTCCTCAAAACCACCGTCCAAAAATATACAATCCAAATCTAAAGACCTAGCTACCAACTAGCTCTCTCCGATCAATACTTCCCGGTATCACGTAATTTCTTTCTTCTACTAGGACCAGACACATGGAAAGAGGAGAGTGCTAATGTGAGCAAAGCAATTTCTTCAGCTAGAGGGAACTATTGCCGAACAATTGGGGATGGAGAAAGAACAATAAGCTTGAACGAAGTTCAGAATAGTTTCAAAGATTTTGTTTCAATTATGAACCGGAATTCTCCCAGAGCAAAAGAATGTTTGCATCATTCTGCATGCCCATGGTGTCAACCATCATGGATTCAGAGTAAAACTTGAAGACAGAAGCTGGCTTCCTATCGAGGAATTATTCAAAATCTTTTCTTCTGTGAAAGATCGTTATCACATATCTATATTCATAACTTCATGCTACGGCGGATCGGTTCACCACAGTCTCGGATCTCTTCCCGTTGGCTCTTCTGTGGTTACAATATCGGACGGAACTTCCATAGAATCAGATATTAAGAGATGGATAAACAGCGTACATGGAATTGGGAAAAAGGTGCGTCTATTTTGAATCTTCTCAATGGATTTCTCATCCATGGGCTTCAGAACAGACACTATCCGAGGCTCTCTATCGTCGGCATTCAGAAATTTAAACTAAAACGACATTTTATTGGGCATTTAGGAAGCAAATACAGCCTAAGGTCGTTCAATCACTAGAGAAGAGATACAAGACCAGGGAAAAATTGTTAGGC